AAACGTCGCCTTTACAGTATTAAAGAAATTGTTATCCCTAAATTGGGTCTACTTTGTAAGCCATAATGGTGTCCACGTAAACAAGGTTGTATGTATAGCAGTACATTCATGCAAATCACTGTCTTGAGTCCGGTAAGCTCATGAACAAATTTGGACATCAATAAGATGATCAATCATTTCGTCATTGATGTAGCCATTATAGGAAACGAGTAAATATGAAACGTCACAACTTCTGACATGGTTTCAGTTGTCAGTGAATAGCGGTACGTTAGCGCCCATTAGTGTGTTCATTATTTGATGTTGAAACACTTATTGTCTTTTTATGGGGTTCCAGGTTAGATTTGGTCTCTTGCGACCTATGTTGGTCGTAAGAAGCGATTTAATGGATCGGGTTGTCAGGCTCGGTGACTTGATTGATGGCATGTCACGTACCCCGCCGCCGTGGTATGTTGCTCATAATATCAACCACTGGGCTGTCTGGTCCACACTCGATTATATACCAGGAATATTGCTAAGTGCGGCGTTAAACAACTAACACACAAGTTTTGGGAGTTCACAAATGTTCAACCCATGTTGGGTTTTTTCATAGTGTTGACTGCTTGTAAAGTAATTCCATTGTTAGTTTACAGTGTCCATCTTGCAGCATATGAAACTGATGTCACAAGTATCTGGCTATGATAATTTTGGACAAATACAAACGCTGCCAATGTGTTCAAAGTTTTCTTTTGGTATAAATCGACATGTGTTGTATACATTCAGACTCTTTATGAAAAGTATTAAGTATATTTTAAGGCGCCACATATTCCACTATTTGTATTAACAAAATGGCTACAATAATGAGGGCGATATTTCTTGCGAGATAATTTCTGAAGATATTGTACGTACGCTTTAATGGCGATTGAAGCAATACAAACTTGAACCGTACAACATTTATCGCTATTTCTACATGTGTGGTAGTATCATCATATGTATTATTCTTAATGTTGACATGAATTCTTTTAACGTTTACAGTAGATTTATAGATTGGACATCAATTTTTATAGTGTGATTATAGAAGTTTTGTCAGTTATGTTTATTTCACGGTGTTTTGACGCGGTGTTGAGGTGTTTGTTTGCCTTTTCAAGACAGCACACAGGGCTTGAATCCTCGAAGAAATGTCAGTTTGTTTTTATTTTGGAAGGTCTTTGACCCGGCGTTGCTGTGCATCATTTTTTTTAAATATAGTTTTAAATGCCTCTCGTCAAGGTTTTTCTTCGTTGCTTCGGTTTCACCAGCATTTGCTTAGTTTAATTTTAAACATATTCTCATGAAAAGGATTGGGTACAAGTTATCACAACTTAGAACGCCCTGTCCCATAGATTTACATGTATGCTTATTTACAATTAATAAATCAAATGACAGAAAGGAAAGAAAAGAAATAGAGAAACGTATATACATCCACATCAAACCTTTTACTTTATATCTGTATGTACATTCCTTCACATGATAAGGTAAAATTGCATTACCAACTAGCATCAGGTCAATATTTACATCACAAGTATCTTTCACAATTAACAATAGTGAGTGCATCAATTCGTTTCTAGCTGATTTAAATAAAGGACATTCAATGAAAAAAGTATATGAATTTTTACAGCGGCTTTCACATCGTCATTTTGGATCCACGTTTAAACCTTTTCTAAATAAGTCATTATTTAATTTACTATCATCACCGGCATTTGTTCTAAAGGGCAGTTCCTGAGTAAACCCTGATGCTTTGTGTACACACTAGTAAACTGCTGAAAGTGCAATTTTCCATGCAGGACTTTTATAAGTTTATATTCTTTGCGTTTCCAAAGCAGCAAGTCGCGTGGGGGGGGGGGGGGGGGGGGAAGCATACATCTAAGGCGCACGCCAGAAACCTTTGATTTTGGGTTCGAATCCAGGTTCGCCCGGATTATGTTTCTAGATTTTTCAGCACCATACCCGTGCTCGTGGGTTTCACCGAAGTGGTAAACGTCTGAGACCTGCATCACTTCGGGGCTTTCCTCCAACATTAAGCCGACTCGCCGTGATATAACTGGAATACTGTTAAACGCTGCATTAAACCCAACTCACTCACTCACTCATGTGGAATTTAAGGTTGGATCCATTTCCGGTATATAACTCATAGGCTGTTAAATATTTATTGTGCAATTTTGTATACACATTCAACAAGTGATCAACTTGTTCTTTAGTTTATTATTTTGGTGTGGGTTTTTTTCACTTCTGCGGATGTAGATAGATGATATCATGGAATGTTCAAAGAAATCATAACTATTTTGAGCTTTTGTCAATAAAACACCTAGCCAGCTTAGTTTGGTTGTTCAAAGATTTCGCCAAAAGGAAAGGATTCTGTTGATTGTATTATATGAGCATCTATTTTCTTAGTTGAATTTATATTTTGAAAAGAAAAGAACATGAAATAAACAACTAATGTACATCCATACTATCATCTTTTATTATAGTCAATATATCTATGCTTATCAATTGTGTGGAATACAATATAAAATGTTGGTTTTTAGTTTTGTGTTATTTCGGCTCGTGGAAAGTTTGAAATAGATTGTGTGACATTAATGATTACTGATTACATTGTCGTTGAGTCGGTGAGTAGTCTTACAATGAGTTTAGAAATACTATTAAAGTATATTGTAATACACTCACACACTCGACCCGTGACGACTCTTCAGCAACCCATGCTTGCCGTAAGAGGCGACTAACGGGATCAGGTGGTCAGGCTCGCTGACTTGGTTGATGCATGTCATCGTGTCCCAACTGCGTGGATCAATGCTCATGATGTCAGTCACTGGATTGTCTGTCCAGATTCGAGTATTTACAGACCCGCAACATATAGATGGAATATTGCTGAGTGCTCACTCACTCACTCACCGTACCTGTAAGTAAAAAACAACAGACAGACACTTGTCGGTTTGTACTCTCCGTGTTTATGCAGACTAGGGCCCTGGAAATGTTCCATTACAAAAATGAAAAATACATTCACCTACGACACATTGTACCACACAGAAACAAAGGGACATAATGCACATGTAAACGGGGAGGTTGAGCTTGTTGATATGTTAACATATTGTCATGGTTATGAAAAGTTCTTTCTGAAACGATAAACCAAAATTTGGAGCATCATTGAGGGTCGCGTATCTTGGTATACCTTACTTTGAGTAGAGTGTGTCATGTTATTCCACACCATGGAGTGTAATATAGCATGTTAAACCACAAATTCAGCGTCGCGTATCTTGCTATACGTTACTTTAAGTAGAGTGCCTCATGTTATGCCACAAAATGGAGTGCAATATATCATGTTAAACCACAAATAAATTTAGCAGTCAAATACCTAGAATATTGCTGAGTGTGGCTTTAAACAACATACAAACAAAGAATCAATTCTTTACATCTCGCCTCGTGCAGGATTTGCGTGTAAAGTTGGAAAACACTTGCAGCCTATCGTGATAAGAATAAAGACACTCTGTGGTTACACTTGACTGATCGTTAGTTATGTTATTAAGTGGTACACATTGGGGACATCTCTTCTTGACGTACATATTTCTCTATATGTTTCTATGGTTCGCGTTTCTTTTGGAGGTGAGAATTTATACTTGTGGCAGGATACGAAACGTAGCTAGTTACTTCTCGTTAGTACAGCTAATACAGTGACAAATTTCATAAAGATAGTAAAGAAGCAGCGGTGAATAGTCACGATTTCGCAGCTAACCAAATCAGAGAATCGAACCTGTATCGTCAGCGTGACCACTGTCGCATTGTCGCATACATGTATATATTAATGACTGCTTATTTTCAATATTTTAACAACGCACGATCTATGATTTACAGATAAAAGCGACAAAACCCTTTCCATATTCATAAGAAATCTCTGCTACAAGCAGAGTCGATTGTACGATCTGGACTATATCATGAGCGTGTGTTATGAATCACTATCAAACAGTTATGATGCCAGGTGTTCCTGGAAAGGTGGGCGTATCCAAGCCCAGTTTGCATCGGTCACCGATGCGTCACATTTGAAAATGTCCTCCACATGTCAATATAAAACTTTTTGAAAGCTTTAGTGAGGCATTGAATGCTGTATCCTTGATTAAACAACTTCTGTTCAACAGTCGTCTGACGCTCTTTGAAATCTTTGTGGAAAGAGGATGCTTCATTGTATCTCAAAAGTTGTGAAATGTAAACACCAAAGGCTTGAGCTGCTGGAATATTACTCGACATGAAGGGAAAGTGGACTACTGGAAACTTGACTTCATAGATGATCGCGCCCAGGGAGTGAACCCAGTAATAAACAATACCAATTATAAACAAAACATATTTTTATTAATGGACTTGGAAAAGCATCTCAGATGTTTACCTGTGATGTGTTAACATACTTTATTATCGACAGCAGTTCTTCACATCGGACTATGTTTCTGCATCCGCCATCTAGGACCTCCTAAAGGGGCATTCACACGGTACAACTAGTTGAATGTGAATGCCCCGTAACCGAGTGTCCAATACGCACAGAATACTTTGAAAAGGTCCCGGCGACTTAATGGATCGAGTGGTCAGTCTCAGTGACTTGGTTTAATGCGTATCATCGCGCACCGACAGCGTGAGACGTTGCTCGTTATATCAATCACTAGTGTGTCCGACTCAATTATTTACAGACCGTTGTCATACAGCTTGACATATTGAGTTCAGCGATAAAAAAAAGAAATAAAAAAAACTGCGGTATAATGGAACATAACTAGTTTGTTTTTGTATAAGCCTGCCATGTTTATATTTATGTGATACTTCATACATAGAACAGTGTAAAGGATCTTTACTACAATATGGATTCAAATATTTTAAGATGCTTCAAATGTGATCTACATTTTACCAATAAACGTCAAGTTACAAAACGAAACTAGACACAGCGCATGTCTGGAACCTTCCCCGTAACTATAACTACATGGATAACGACTTCCGCATTCCTGTCAGACATGTTACTACGATGGTGGTATTGATACGCATTAAAGACAGAGAAAGCTAGTGATGACTAAGAATTATATGTCCGTTCACAATACACAGTCAAGGTAAGTGATTTCAATAATCAGTGAGTTCACTTTGAATTAAATCTATAATGGCGCTTTGGAATGAATACAAAACAATTTAGGTTGTGACCAAGAACGCAAAGAACAAGAGAGCTTACTTTTGAAGGAAACCGAAATCCTCATCTTATCTGTTGATCATATTCGAAATCGTATCCAGTGGGCGTGGTAAATGTATGCTTATGGACGACCTGCTTTTAATACAAGCTTATGTCTGTGTAAACATATTCCTTTGCCGCTCGTTACGTCGTGTAGTTAGGTTATTCATGGCTGGTAGAACGGACAGTGTTGGAGAGAATGGGTAATTATCGACCCGGGTGCCGGTTGACGAGCTAGGCATGCTCATTGACTGTGGATCGATCTGACTACCTGTGTTGAAGGGAGGGGCTCCTTATCTCTCGGGTCTCGGCGGTTGCGGGGTCCCTGCCTGAGGGCGTCCTGGGTGTAGTTATTTGGTGACCACTAGGTTGTCCGGAGTTCAGGAGTTATAAATACCTATGGCTATTCATTTTGAATGGATATTTTGCACCAGCGTGAAATGTATTGATGTACTGGGCGGTAGACTGAACAAACTTGGAATAGTACTCCCTATATGTATTTTGACAACGAATAACGTTGCAGACTATCATGGAATAATCAATTCACCTGAACAGAACTAAATATTACGCCCAATGTGTAATTTGATAACGAATAGCACTCCATCTGACTTGGGATGACCTGTACAAATATTACAGTCAATTAATCATGAGCGACGCTCTGTCCTGATCTGGAATTTCATTGACTATTGCAGATGTCAGAAACGTCTTTTAATCAGTTGAATTTTTCAATCTAAATTTGTTATACATGCTGACATTTCCTGTTTAGTTCTCACGCCTAAAAAACCTGTTTATGTGTTGAGGTGATCTTTCAGGCATATGACTGACCGACTGTCAAAGGCAAGATGACCTGCATATAGATTTGCAAAGAGTTTTCGACCAGAATAACATATTAAAATAGCATACAGTGTGCGAGTTTAGCCTCAATTTTGTAATTGATATCTTTTCCCGTAAAAACCAAGCCTCGTTCTCAAGTGCGACCTACAAACAGTAAATACAATTTGCTAGCAGATGACATATTCACTCTCTAGTCTCTATCAACTGGATAAACAGAGGTTTCTACTAAAACAACCGTGTTTTTGTACTTTTATTAGTTTTCCATGTTACGAAATATATTCACTGAATATTAATGCTTTTCACCTGGGTGGTAAGGTTTTTTATTGAGGACCATGATGAGGACCATCTTTGATAAAATGTACCCAACTGTATGCATACCTGACAGGGACTACATGGGCTCCCATAATTATACGATGTCTTACATTTTGTCTCAGAAGGAAAACCATCATTCCAGGTTTTGTTTCTATTTCCTTTCTACCTTTTTGTCAAAATAATGTACTTATGTATGTGATATTATGAAACTATATCCTCAAAGAATATCATATTATATTGTATTACGTATAGGGAGAGAGTCTGGATGTGTCTCGAAATTATACAAGAAATCCGAAAATGCTAATATGTAATAACTATATTTCCAGATAACCATGTCGGACTATGTATCGGCGTCCGCCATCAAGGACCTCCTCACCGAGTGCCCAATATGTACAGAACACTTTGATGAGGCCAGACGGACACCTCGTCGTATGCCCTGCTGTGTACAGTCAATATGTCAAGCTTGTCTAGAGACGCACAGCAAAGGACTCCCAAAGTTAACATGTCCCATGTGTCGACACCAACATAACCTGCCAGGTGGTGTGAAGTCTCTGCCCAAAGAGCCTATCATCCTAAGAATCCTGGATCATCTGAAGATTGTGAAGGGTCTCCATCTGCCTTGTACGCATTGTCCTGATGGTAACCCTGCCATGTCTAGATGTGATGACTGTGGCGTCTTCCTGTGCCAAGAATGTCTAAATGCTCACAAAAGAGTTAAGTTGATGCGAGATCACCAACCTGTCAGTTTTAAGGAAATGAAAAAACAACCAGGTAAAAGTTTCAATCGTCACCATAAGTGTGCACAACACGACCAACCTCTACAGTTCTACTGCTATACTTGTGAAAAGATCGTCTGTGTGTCCTGCACTGTAGTGGACCACAAGGAAGGGAACGGACACAACGTTGTATCCGTGAATGAAGCACACCGAAAAAAGGCAAAGTCCATTGACGATACCTTAGTCAAGCTGAGGCAGAAGGCAGAGGAACTTGAGAGAATAAAACAAGGTCTGAAGGAAAGACATTCAAACATACAGGTGTCAAAACAGGCTGCCGTGGTTGACATCAACAAAGCCTTTGACGAACTGATTGATGAAATACAGCAGAGGAGAGGCATTCTGTTGTCAGATATTGAAAAGAGATCCAGCAAGATTCTGAAGCTGACACAGGAGGAACTGGATTCCACCAGAAATATTCTAGCAAAAGTGACATCATCTACCAAGTACACACGACAGATGCGGAGTAAAGCTGACATGATAGAGGATCTACAAATGATGGGGTCTTCAGCTGCCACCTTGAGCGCCATGTTGGAGATGTCACCAAAGGCGTCACTTGGAAGAGCTGGTGTCAGCTTTGCTTCAACTTGCTTCAGTAAAATTACCCCCTTGTTGAAGATGGCCGGCCTCGTCAAATCAGTTGTCTTTTCACAAACAGAGACTCCAAATGGAAATAAATCCTTGAAAGATGCAATGACTATTGAACACGAGCAAGTGCCACAAGGTAATCAGTCTGTACTTTAATTTAATTCAAGTATTTTCTTAAAGACACTTCCTCTATTTTGATATATTTGTGCATTTTGTTTCATAACTGTGCAGAGAGTTATAAACTATCCCCATATAACTGTGAACCACATGGTAATAATGTCACGTCATGTCTATTGATACTGATGTCACCCTAACACATTTGTGTCCACAGCTGCATATATGACCGGGCAGCCGTTGGGAGTAAAAGGATCGCTCGCATGTGAGTTCACCCTCAGGTTGCTTTATTGATGTGGAGAGCATCACGAAGTGCAGTACAACTGTTCACTGCAATGAAGTTCTCTCCTCACTAATTTAAGTTACTTGAATAGTTACTGTAATGTCAAATGGGTCTGTATAAAGATGTTTCTTTCTAAAACCTGTCACAATTTTACAAGATTGAATGGTGTCTTCAAAAAGTCTTGGTGCACTGAAGTTGTAAATAAAAGCGACAACGCCATTTCCATGATCATAAGAAAGCTCTGTTAAAAGCAGATCTGTTATGTGATTCCGACAATATCACAACCATGTGTTTATGAATCACTATTTTTACCTGTCGATTTCCAAATTGAAACAGTGTGTTAACCAAGAAATATGTATTTAAAAGAACTCAGTGTCAAACCAACAGACAAACAACAAATGGTATACAATCAACAAATGTATTACAACATTGACTAGGTTTACAAATCAATACAAATTACTTCATAGTAATTACAATGACAGTACACAATATGGTGGTCTTAAAATATTCAATGAAAGTATGTAAAATGATGACAGTGGTAAGTATTAAATACAAAACTACAGTGGTGATAGCAAAAGTCAGTGATATTACTTTCTTCACCCAACGGTGACAGTGGTCAAGCTTCTGGGATGGCCTAGGCAGGGAATCCGGGGTGATGAGTGATCTTCACACGAAAGCTGGACTTGATGTAATGAAATGTGTGACACGCTCTTCCCCTTATATTCCGTCTGACTAGCTACTGGAAATTTCCTGACAGGGTCATCACAACATAGAATATTCTACATGTTTCTATTACACTTTATCACAATCCACGGTATTCCGGTAGTTTACACATCACACTAGCATCTAAATATAATAACTTTCTCACCACTGCTTACATTAAATAGTACTACATTCCTGACAACTAATCAATGTCCACAACGCACAATCTTTTACTACAATTGTTAGTTTTTTCAAAAGGTCAATAGTCTGAAGCCCTAAAGAACCTTAATACAAACTACAGTCCATTGAGTCTTCTTCTCTTCTGCTGACCAACCAGATCTGTTTGATAACATTGTATGTTAATTGGTTATCTGTCCCTTGAAGAGTCTTTCTGCAACTGCTTCACGTCCCTTTGGATGGTTGATCTGCCATAGACTGCTTGTGAATCAATAGCGTGTCCCAGAGTCCTCAGACCTACGTTGAAGACATAGCGGGAACCTTCTTAATTAGCACTTCCTTGGCAGAATCTCCGCACCAACCCGTTGCTTCATAAAGTCTCCTGGCAAATCCGTAAAGGCTGCAATTTCTCCTTGCCATACCCTCTCCAACCATTCTTCCAGTGACTCGTCCGAGGCCTGATGAAAAACTGCAGTAAATCATCTTCCAAACCGCCTTTCGCGTTTCTTGATATTTTCATGGAAGCTGATGTACTCATCCTTCTCTAGAAACAAGGGGAAGAAGTCAGCTGCTTCACCCATGAGACAGTAACATAGCTGTCCAGCATATCCTCATTCTATTGCTGGGAGTATTGCAAATCATTCGCCTGTGCTTTTTGGATCCTCATTAAGATAAACGATTTGCTCACGCAACGGTTGAAATCCCCCAAAATTGTCCGAAATGCAGACATGATGTGTATAATCCACCTGTGTTTGATAGAGCACTGATCCATAAGGCTTCGTCCATAATAGTCTTTGTACCCCAGAGACCCACTAGCGCATTGACAGGCATTAGAGGCACGACCATCATCTTCGACATTCCAAGGATAATCCTCTTTGGTATTATCATTCTATTGGTGCCTATGGGTATGTGAGCGACATGGTGTTGCCATTATCGTAGGATCTGGATTCCATCTGGACAACAGAAGGTTCTCCACAACAGACCCAATGCTAGAGATTTTATTATCCTCCAGCAGTTCATCTCCAGACACGAGGCTGTGACCCTTTTCTGATGAGTGCGTTTGATTTTATGCCGCTTTTAGCAATATTCCAGCAATACCACGGTGGGGGACACAAGAAGTGGGCTTCACACACTGTACCCATGTCTGGAATCGAACGCTTTAACCACTTTTTCTAATGACAAATACAGAGACCTTGATGCAAAGGTCTCCTGGATGGATGGGTTTACATGTTTACCAAACCCCTGGGCAGAGTTACTATGAATTGGCTGATGTTGTTTGGCCTGCCCCCAACCGTTCTCCATACCTAGGGATTAGAGCATATCTCTGCTGGATATTCATCTGAGCTCTTTGGAGGACCCGAGGGGCAATCCCCTCAGTAGTGGGCTTTGTCCTAGAACTCCGATTGGACACATCCGTACAATGTACCTCAGATTGAGTGGTTGGCGTGGGTGCATCAGAGAGACGGCCAGTTCCAGGATTGTTAGGGCTACCCGTTTCCAGGTTGGCTTACCTCAGAGAAAACTGCCATTTCCTTGCTGAAATCCTGAGGTGAGGTTATGTGAGATGGGGTTTAACGTTTAAGTTTAATGCACCTATTTATCGACATGCATGCATGTGTGTGTGTGTGTGTGTGGCCGATTGTACTACTCCGGACGGTTTTATTGTTCTAGCCAACTGAGATACCATGCCACAGTTTAACACGAATACCCCACTCAGACGCAGTATACTGGACCCGAGCTGACCATTCCTTGTTTTAGCCCCATAATGCACAGCACAAGCCAGGATAACAACAAGTACCATCTTTTAACGTCTTTTGGTATGATGCATCCCAGCTGGGGGCAGCTCTTGTGGTAGCGGAATGGCGGGGTATCGTGTATAGGTCGCCCGACATGGTAAAGACAACAGAGATTGATATTCATTACATTTATCGTCATTACACCTTCATTATCATTTCATCAGTTCCCTTATTTTATGTCGGTAGAATATTTCCTTACAAATCGCACTTGGAAATGTACGATTTCCATATGATAAAACATGTTGTGGAAACCAATGTATCTGGAAAGGGTAGATTAGTGTCTCGCATGCGAAACAAAATGAACAGCTGGCAGTCGTCTAAGACGCCTTTGCAGAGTTGCGTCCCTTGTGTACGCTACATACATCCCTTCGGGCTTTCCTCCCACAACTAGAATACTGTTAAAAGCGTAATAAAACCCAAATCACTCACTGACTCATTTCATGACAAAGCATATGTTCCCATTAATCGGAATTTGTAGTATGTTCCGACTTCACATTCAAAAGCAATTAACACACCCCTGCTGAAGTCAGTCTATCTGATACTAAATGTTGTCCTTCAATTGTCCAAGTATGGCAGGTTGACTTTCGTTTTAATATATATATTTTTCTGATTTACCGACATGTTATACTTTAACCCATACAGTATTATCCTTAATATTCACGGAAACAATACTTTCATCCCACATTAAGCTGACACGCCGTGATATGACTGGTCTACTAACGGTGTTAAACCCAATTCACTCACTAATATGACATTTAGTACAGATGTTTGTGTATGCGGAAACGCATTCACCTGATACGAACGATGTGTCTTCTCCCCAGGTGCGGATCTGGAATGGGACTCCAGTATTGCAAGTGACGGACTGACGGTTTCGGGGCCAGTTGTCACCAATGGCAAACAAGAACATCTTCCACCAAGGACAGGATGCCGACTACTTTCATCTAACAGACTCCTGACATCAACACCTCTGGTCATCAGGCCAGGACAGACCATCATGTACGGCATGGAGGTCACATACTCTGTCATTACACCATATGATAACAATACTTTTATCTTCGAAGCAGCTTTGACTGGCAACCCTGTTGATGCTTACAAGCAGCAGACAACTGGATTGAGTGTATTCTTTGCAACATGCCCAGCTCATAATGGAATATGTCTACAGGTGCACTACAACGGACAACGTCTGACAGATGACAACCTTACACTGAACGAGAGTAGTGCAACTTACAGCCTGGATTTGGGATTCGTTCTTGAAGAGGAAACACATACAGTCCATGTCCTGGACCTTAGTCAACAGAAACTCGTCACATCTGTAACTACCTTTCCGTTTGATAAACCTCTCTGGGTAATGACTCTTTTTGCACCTTATCCTAACACCCACTTGACCTGTGAATTATCATCACAGAAAGGAATCAACATGCATGACGCAATGAAACGCTTGATCCACGAGTAACTGGAAAACGAGCAGATTGGCGATACCAAGCAGATGATGCAGACAGAGAAATAATACTTCGCCTTGAAATGTGACCATTGTATGCCAGTAAAGCCATAATGAATTGTTAGATAGGCATTACTTAGAAGTTGACGGATGACAAAGTAGACACAATTTATGAATACCAACTTCTTTGATACTGTAAAGGCGACGTTTCGGTATAGATCCTTGCTTGACAACGGTAGGAGGATTTATACCTTTACAGTATTAAAGAAAGTGTTATCAATAAATTGTGTCTACTTTGTAAGCCATAATGGTGACCACGTAAACAAGGTTGTATAGATAGTAGTACATTCATGCAAATCACTGTCTTGTGTCCGGTAAGCTCATGCACAAACTTGAACACCAATAAGATGATCAATCATTTCATTATTGATGTGGCCATTATAGGCCCAGGAAATGAGTAAATATGAAACGTCACAACTTCTTACATGGCTTCAGTTGTCAGTGAATAGCGGTACGTTAGCGCCCATTTGTGTGTTCATTATTTGATGTTGAAACACTTATTGTCCTTTCATTGGATACGGGGTTAGATTTGATCCCTAGCAACCTATGCTGGTCGTAAGAAGTGACTTAATGGGTCGGGTTGTCAGGCTCGGTGACTCAATTGATGGCATACCAACGTACCCCGCCGCCGTGGAATGTTGCTCATAATATCAACCACTGGTCTGCCTGGCCCACACTCGATTATATACCAGGAATATTGCTGAGTGCGGCGTTAAACAACAAACACACAGGTTTTGGGAGTTCACAAATGTTCAACCAGAGACCTTATAATAGAATCTATTATATGGTCTCTGGTTCCACCAATGGGGTTTTTCATAGTGTTGACTGCTTGTGAAGTAACTCCGTTGTTAGTTTTACAGTATCCATCTTGCAGCATGTGAAACTGATATCGTTATGTATATTCTATATGAATGAGGCCAGCAGACTGTACAGCAGGCATTGTGTATTCTTACATGGTTAGTGTCACATGATCTGTTGTTGTTTGGATATGCTTTCCGTTTCAGTAGCGACGTAATTTATATAGGTGTTATTCTGTCCCAAGTATCTGGCTATGATAATTTTGGACAAATACAAACGCTGCAAATGTGTTCAAAGTTTTCTTTTGGTATAAATCGGCATGTGTTGTATACATTCAGACTCTTTATGAAAAGTATTAAGTATATTTTAAGGCGCTACATATTCCACTATTTCTATTAACAAAATGGCTACAATAATGAGGGCGATATTTCTTGCGAGATAATTTCTGAAGATATTGTACGTACGCTTTAATGACGATTGAAGCAATACAAACTTGAACCGTACAACATTTATCGCTATTTCTACATGTGTGGTAGTATCATCATATGTATTATTCTTAATGTTGACATGCATTCTTTTAACGTTTACAGTAGATTTATAGATTGGACATCAATTTTTATAGTGTGATTATAGAAGTTTTGTCAGTTATGTTTATTTCACGATGTTTTGTCGCGGTGTTGATGTGTTTGTTTGCCTTTTCAAGACAGCACACAGGGCTTGAATCCTCGAAGAAATGTCGGCTTGTTTTTATTTTGGAAGGTCTTTGACCCGGCGTTGCTGTGCATCTTTTTTTTTAAATATAGTTTCAAATGCCTCTCTTCCAGGTTTTTCCTCGTTGATTCGGTTTCACCGGCATTTGTTTAGTTTAAGTTTAAACATATTACATTCTCATGAAAAGGATTGGGCACAAGATATCATAACTTAGAACGCCCTCTCCCATAGATTGCATGCTTATTTATAGAGAAACGTATGTATAATCACATTGCTAACTCAAACCTTTTTGTTTACTTTATATGTGTATGTACATTCCTAAATATGTTTTTGTTCACATAATAAGGTAAAATTGCATTGCCAACTAGCATCAGGTCAATATTTACATCACAAGCATCTTTCACGAAACAAAAATAGTGAGTGCATCAATTCGTTTCTATCTGATTTAAATAAAGGACATTCAATGAAAAAAGTATATGAATTTCCACAGGGGCTGCCACATCGGCATTTTGGATCCTCGTTTAAACCTTTTCTGAATAAGACATTTTTCAATTCACTGTCACCACCGGCATTTGTTCTAAAAGGCAGTTCCTGAGTAAACACTGAAGCTTTGTATACACACTGGTACAATGCTGAAAGTGCAATTGTCCATGCAGTACTTTTATAAGTTCACAATGTTTTGCGTTTCCATGGTAGCAAATCGGACTCATGTGGAACTGAAGGTTTGATTTTATTCCGGAATATAACCCATAGGCTGTTAAATATTTATTGTGCCATTTTATATACACATTCAACAAGTGATCAACTTGTTCTTAAGTTTATTATTTGGGTGTGGGTTTTTTTCACTTCTGCAGATGTAGATAGATGATATCATGGAATGTTCAAAGAAATCAAAACTATGTTGAGCTTTTGTCAATGAAACACCTAGCTAGTATAGTTTGGTTGTTAAAAGATTTCGCCAAAAGGAAAGGATTTCGTTGATTGTATTGTATGAGCATCTATTTGCTTAGTTGAATTTATATTTTGAAAAGAAAAGTACATGAAATAAACAACCAATGTACATCCATACTATCATCTTTTATTATAGTCAATATATCTATGCTAATCAATTGTGTGAAATAAAATATAAAATGTTGGTTTTTAGTTTTGTGATATTTCGGCTCGTGGAAAGTTTGAAATAGGTTGTTTGATATTAATGCTTACTGTAAATAGCACAACCTTGATTGCATTGTCGTTGAGTCAGTGAGTAGTCTTACAATAAGTTTTGAAATACTATTAAAGAATATTGTAATGCACTCACTCGACACGTGAAGATCCGGGGTGAAAGGCGACTATGCTTGACGTAAGAGGTGACTAATGGGATCGGATGGTCAGGCTCGGTGACTTGGTTGATGCATGTCATCGTGTCCCAACTGCGTTGATCGATGCTCATGATGTCAGTCACTGGATTGTCTGGTCCAGATTCGATAATTTACAGACCCGCGACATATAGCTGGAATATTGCTGAGTGCTCAATCACTCACTCACTCGAGTGCTCACTCACTCACTCACTCACACGCTCACCCATTCTACCTATAAGTGAAAAACAACAGACACTTATCGTTTTGTACTCTCCGTGTTAATCAGGCAAACTTGGGCTCTGGAAATGTTGCATTACAAAAATGAAAAATACTTTCACCTACGACACATTGTACCACACAGTAACAAAGGGACATAATGCACATGTAAACGGGGAGGTTGAGCTTGTTGAAATGTTAACATATTGTCATGGAAATGAAAAGTTCTTTCTGAAACGATAAATCAAAATTTGGGGCATCATTGCGTGCCGTGCATCTTGCTATACCTTACTTTGAGTAGAGTGCGTCATGTTATACCACACCATGGAGTGCAATCATTTTAAACCACAAATTCAGCGTCGCGTATCTTGCGATACCTTACTTTGAGAAGAGTGTGTCATGTTTTATAACCCATTACGTGTCGTCTATCCATATACCTTACTTTGAGCAGCGTTTATCGTGTTATTCCACAATATTGAGGGTAATATATCATGTATTGCACGATGAGTATCACCTATCATATCATACCACAGAGAGATTTAACACATCTTATACCATACTATTGACTGACATTTCGCATAATGTATTACAATACAATAGGCTGCCATCCCCCTTCTGTTAGCAGGATTCAGGGGTCTATTTAGAAGATATTCGGGACTCGGCAGTGTAGTACGCGGGATGTGTTACGTATTTGGTACGCAGATTCAACATTTTTAAATCAATAATGGACGACGCAAACATTTCCTTTACATACACGTATATATAAATAAAATTGAGGGGGGTATTTTTCGAGTAGGTTTACATGAAATCGGACTTTTCTCAATGTTTTTAAGATTTGTTTTATGAGTATTTAGGATTCGGGGTAAGAAATTGAGACTCAGAGTGAAAAAATAGATGGCATTGGGGATTCATGGGAGGAGGGGGTTGGCACCCTCAAACAACCGTACTTTTTACAAACAAGTAATGTATCATGAGGACGGATTCAACAAAACAGTCTAAAAACTGATTCACTGAATGGAATAAATACATTCTATCAAACTGTTCAACAGATGCGAAGAGATCCGACAATGACACCGCCGTGATTCAAATTGTCTTTGGTTTTGCACATTCAGTTTCAATATTCCTAATCCTGTACATCACACATCGGACAATGTATGCTGCACACGGTGAAGCTGCTCATTGCCCCATGTTGTTCTGTTCTGAACCGTAGAAGATCGTGGTGCCACCCTCGGGAACAAAGTCACGTGATGTTCAGTCGAAAAGGGAGATAAGTCTGCTGGCTTATCTTCTTTGAGGAAGAAAACAGACAGAGACGTTCTTCAACTTGATTTGTCGCTTTGCAATACCCAATGTCTTTTTTCCCGAAGGGTTGAAATACAACAAACGCCTATTAACAAATGCAATCAACTAGACCTATATGCTAACATTAAACATTTAATTGCTATATAGCTTAAGACATGTGTAGATTGATATCAGTGAAAAACCTGATCAAGAAACAGTGAACGGTCTTTGCACCAAGGTATTGAACCCATTCACAGTTACAAATGAGCATACATACCCCCTAAGGTAGCTACGACTGTGGGTTAAACCTCGTCGATTGTCTGAGTGAGTTAGTTGGGTCTTGCTTGTCCCTTCAAGGATACAATAGTAGTGTAGGTCAGTTCAAATCGAAAATAGATACTGCGCATGCCTATAATAGCGTCAACAGGTTTCTTTGGAAGCACAGTTCCTGGGCTAGGTGTGAAAACTGACTTTTGCCAAACATCAACAGGTAAGTAATTTCACTGACCTCATCCAATGTCCGGTACACCGACATGTATGTACATCAGGTAATAACACTGTACAGGTACACTACAGTTAAGATATATGGTTGTCAAACAATATGTATACACAGGTGGCCTCGCGGGCTACACAACAGTATTGTTGATCCAGGAAGTCCAACCATACAGCAGGATATTTGAGGTGAGTATGTGGATATTAGAGCATATTGACATGATATGACGAGCTAATTGAATAGTCCACCATACGTCAACATGTCTAAAGACAGAAGTGTGACGACTGTAGTGCTACAGATTGTAATTAAAGCAAAGCTTGGTTGA